CAAACTTCACACAGAACCTTCAAGCTGTGGCACGTACGTGCTACCTTGTGCTACCATTATCGTTAGTAATTAGTCAAATGATTATTGAAATTATGATGTGTTTTGTCACAGTATAAACGCACATAGAGAGGACTGTTTTTGAAATGGGTTACTCTTCCAAGGCCCAGTGTGAGACAAACAAGCCTGTGTGCCAGCACAGTGAGGTGGAAGAGCGGGAAGCCCTTAAAATCTAACCACGTTCACAATATGTTCACAGATCCAAGGGGAATTCTCCAGAACGCTCATTTGTCCCACTGTGATATGAACACACCGTTTAGGGTTTTCCATTATGTCTTTGGCAAGATATTTTAACTCATTCACACCAAAACACAGAGAAAAGCCACATTCAATTTACTTTTGCCTTTATTTACTGTTTCTGAGCCTGTGACACTTCTTTATTAGATAACGATTAGAGATTAATAGAGACGCTTTCAGATAATTTGGGGGAACCTAATGGTCCAGTTACAGTCAGTCTGGTTTTATAGTTTTTCAGTGTTTTTCAGACAAAAAGGTGGACCTCCCTCACTCAACCAAGTTACTATTTTAGGCCCAGCTCAGTCTGTCACTGCTCAGCCTGGTCATTATAAACCATGTAAGACTTTGTTTTTCTCATCCAGAAGTCTCTCGAGGTTTAATGAATAAATAAAGAAGACATATATCATCACAGTAGTTAATCCCTTGATGCACCACACTATTGTAATACACGTAAAAAATCATAAAAGGTTTGAAATTCGAGTTGGATATCTTTCAGCAGTCACTCTTCCGCAATAAAAATGTATTTGATTTATGAATCTCGTAACATTCTGTACAAGCTGAAACATAGCTGCTGATGTCATCTTGTTGAACACAGTGGTTGAAAATGTAATGAAGCCGAGACTGTCAATCACAGTGAACAGGAAGAGTTTTCATTTCTGAAGTGAACCACAAGTCTGGGGAAGGACTGTGAAAACACATCTCTGGATAACAATCACAGGGAGAATTATACAGTTCCAGAATGCATCCCCCCCCCCCTTTTTAACATGTAAAATGATTAAAGTAAATCGCTCTGAGATTTTTCAACACCCATTTGACTCATATTGACTTCCCTCAGTCACAGGCTTTTGTGGTGTGGAGCTCCCAATCTGTAATCCGGTGCTTCATCGAGAGTGAGATGCATGTTCTTGCTCAAGTCGTCTTCATTCAAAATAGTGCCTGAAAACCTCAATAGGAGGGGTTTAATCTGTGTACCTGATTATAAGATTTATGTGTTTATAATTGAGATACATGGTGGACGTAGTGTCTCCATGCGGCTGTAGTTGTAGACAGAATTGCTTCACTCTGAGAATATTAATCCTATAAACGTGGTGTGTTACTCAAAGTTGTTCTTTTCGTGGCGCGTGAGTTCACAAGCCCTCCTTCTGCTGAATGAACGCTGTTTACATCTACAGTAACTAAGCAAGCTGGACGAGTAACATGCCTTTGACACAATCTTTTTTATGAAGATATTCAACATTCACAAGTGTATAAAATATTAACAGGCAGGTTTATTTGTACAGCAAAATCCCTACACAGGTCAAATCAAAGTGCTTTACAAAAGGGAAGAAACATTCAATTCATTCATTCAAGTAAAATCCTAAATATTAATAAAGATTTGAATTAAGATCATATGTGTTTAAACGAAGAAAAGATGCAATCCTTCAGTTGTATGCACAATTAAACAGGACTGTTTTTATCTGGATTTTTACTTTGTCAGAGTCGAAGCCTGTCTCACAATTTCAGAAAGACTGTTCCACATGTTGGCTGCATAAATCTGAAATGATGATGGCAACAGCAGGAGGCCAACTAATTCTGCAGGTAATGGCTGCAAGTTTGCATCAAGCCCTATTACCCCCAAACTAATTAAAAAAGGTCCGGCAGATGCATTATAGTTATAGAAAACCAGGGAGGTGAGATAGTGAACACGGATAACCTGTCTCCCTGTCTTCCAGTCTGAATTTCCTCTGCATATTTGGAAATGGTGAGCCGCATATTTTAGTTGTCATGTCATGCCATTTCATCCCCTTTATTATTCCATTTCTGGGTCGGGGGGGGGTGGCAATCAGAGATCTCATAGAAGTCTCATAGCACCAGTCCCTCACTGATCCTCCTGCAGAGGGTGGGTCCACAGGAAGATGGCTTCTCCTTCATCGAAGACATGGTCTTGGTCTTCCAGCAGGGGCCTCAGGCAATGTGGGGTTAAGTGTCTTGCCCAGGGACACAACGACAGCAGTCATCAGTGGGAGCAGATGATATGGGTCGTGTTGGGATCGAACCCAAGACCAGTGCTCTACCAACTGAGCTACTGTCGCCCGCCATATTTTAGTTTGTTTCATGTAATAACTGTTTGAATTAGGCCTGTTGATCACTCAAACTAGCAATTTCAGAATCTGCAGTTGATATTATGATAGTGATTGTGGTAAAGTGGTTTTACAGAAAACTGCCATCTTCTCGCTTAATTTTAATATCTACCTCACACTCAACAAAAACAAAAACAAAGCTAGATCTTTTGTTATGAGGTCTGGTTTGTTGCCATCCAAACTTTCCAAGGGGATTTTTTTAACATGCAAATTTCTCTCTCACCAAGCTATATTTACATTTTAGAGACAGTATGCAAACATAACATGTTATAGGGTACTGGCAGTTACTTATGTATAGATATTGCCAACAAACTGACAGTTCATTTACGATTGCATTTAAATATGAAAATCATGCATGCTTTGTTTGGTCAGCAAAAGGTGAACTCAGGACGCAAAGTAGAGGGGACGTCAGAAGAGCTCTTTTAAGATAAGATCATATAAACTTTATTCATCTCACAATGGAGAAATTCACAATATTTGTGTAAATGTATTACATTTGTAATCATTTTCTTATTATTTTATTGTCCTTCCATACATCCATTTTCTTCCCCTTAATCCATTTCTCCTGCAAATGGTGAGTCCACAGGAGGATGGCTGCTCTGTCAGTGACAACAGAGCCTTGATCTTTCAGCGAAGGCTTCAGGGAAAGTGGGGTTAAGAGTCTTGCCCAAGGACACAAAGACAGCAGACATCAGTGGGAGTCATGGAGAAGGTTTTTAGGGTGGGCTTGAACCCACGAACAAGTTAAACTTGTCTATTAGATGTACTGTATATCTAAATAGAAGTATTTCTTTCTCTTTTTTTTTAAAGGTTAAAATTATCATTTAACCAAATCTCTAATTTCAAAGCATTACATCCATCATTTGGCTGTTTCCATGGCGAGGATCAATAGTAAACAGAGCAGCCATGTTCTGTGCATAAAGGATATAATGAGAGTCTGTCATTGACACATGTGTGGGCACTTATCACCCTGCTGCTCCTACATGAGGCCACTGGATCCAGGAGTGTGAATCACACTTGTAATTAGAAAGCACTATTTAAACCACATGTTCACAATTATCCTCCAGGACAGCAGACGTGTACTTGTATATAAAGAAGGAATGTTGCACTTCTGTAGACCTCAGCCGAAAAGTGTGCCAGTGATTGCCTCAGGAAAAGCATCTCAACTATATAGGATCAGAAGCAGAAGATAGAACGTTGTATTACCGAGAGGAAATCAGAAGGGACTGCAAACACCACGCTATTCTGCTATAAATGTAGACTTCAAAGAGTGATTAAAGGGTGTAGTTCATCAACAAAAATGTATTTGCACATTTGACGTTAATTACGAGGAACAATATGATTTCTCTTTATCCCTGGGTGTTCTGAAATCCATTTCTTGTGTAAATACCAACAACATTAACTTGGCCAAGCACAATAAATTATATGACATATGTATCTGCTCCTGGCAAGCACTCACAGCACGGACGGGTTTTTTCCTTCAGGGAGCTATAGACGGATGAAAAGGAATCTGTTTTTCCAATTAATGATTTTGTACCAATGTTAGCCCCTCACTGAACTTGAGAGTATGGAGAATGTTAGCGCCTGATTAGCTGTCAAACCAAAGATAACCCAGAATGCAATGCACTGATGGAGCCAAGTCACAGCCGACCACACAGTACATGACTTTTTGTCTTAATGCGTCTTCTTCTGCCGTGATTACATCTCATTCTTTCCCCTGCTCTGTGTCTGTGGCCGTCTGGTCAGAGCCACCCATGCTCTTCCTCATAAAGCCACTGAAGCCCTGTATTTTTCATCAACAAATTACCGCAAGATCCAATTGTAGAAAGAATAGGCACAATAAAAGCAAGTTTACTTTTCTGAGATAGAGAAACGGTACATGATTTGATTGAATTGTACAGGACAGCAAAAAGACAGTAGTGGGCAATCCATAACACAGGGTTAATAAGCACAGTTATATAGTACACTGCAAAAAATAAGGTTGTAAATGCAAGTCGTTTCTTAAATCGTAGCCATTTTGTCATTTTGTCTGCCTTAAAAAAGGGTCAAGCACACAGTTCTTTTTACAAGCACAGCTACAAATTTGTTCTCATTCCAAGTGAGGATTTGTCCCATTGTAAAATCTAGTTTTAAACCCAAAATATTTGACCAAACATACATAAATTGAGCTTTATAACTCAGACCCTATTTGTCAGTTTTTGCCGTATAATTAATCATGTATTTATTAAAATGGTGTCCTTGTGGATTTGTATATAAGAAAATCTTTAGATTGTTTTCCTTTTCACTATTTTTCACTATGCTTTCACGTCTAATAAAAAGCGTAGTGGTTTGTGTTCCTTGCAGAAGTGCAGAGGAATGCGGCGTGTGAAGCGGTATTTGACACATGACAGGTCAGTGATAAGTTTTTGGTAAACACACACACACACTATTTGCTCATTAGGACCGCTTTCTCTGGTTCAACTCCAGTTTTGTGGTTGCATTCTTGGACAGCAAATAGACTGGTCTTCCTTACCCAAATATATTTTCTAAACAATGGCTAAGAACGGCTCTGGAAAACGTTTGGAATTTATCATTATACTCTTAGCCATGAGACTTCTCTACGCCTCCCATGAAGTGTGCACCAATGCCCTCATACCAGGAGCTAAAGGTAAAGTTATGCAAAGATGCAGATCGTCTGATTTGGCTTATTGTGTGTATGAATGGAAAACTTGCAGGAAAGACCTATGTGTAATTTGTTTTTGAGTTTTGAGTGCTATTCTTTATAACTGAGAGCATGTAATGTCCTGTTGTTTCCCAGATTTGACTCAGATCCTTCACAGACTTTTCAGGGAAAGCCTCCGCACAGTTTGCCTCCAGTTTTATGAAATCCAGTAGCTGTTTCCCTGCTGATTCAGACAGACAGACCTTATAAAGTACACAATAAAATAAGCATTACTGAAAACCATGACATGGAGTTTTGGCTCCCAGATAATTCAGAGACTGTCTTTGGGGAGCTGACATCATGCATAAACCGTGGAGGTCTTTCGAATGGAAACGAACCACTATTCCAAAGTTGGTTAACTTGGATTTGATCAGAATTAGAAGAATTTGTTTTTCCTATTCCACCACAACTGCTCACAAGTCAGCTCTTTGGTCCGACCTAAAGCCAAGGTACAGCGCATACATCATTTAGGAAATGTACACAGTGCACAAAGTTATGCCTCGCTGGAGGGACTTCTGTGGGCTCTTACGAGACACTAGTTAATGTTTCAAAATTACACGAGCAAATGTATACAGAAGAAATAGACAAAAAAACATTTGTCATGGTTGCATTTCTGAAGGACTTCTAATATATAACCAATGTCCAAGGGTGAGAGGACATTCAGAGCATTAGACATAAAATAAATGCTACAAAAAGCATGTTAGTATTGGCAGCTTCAATCAGAAAAGAATATTTTTCAAATTACTTAAGAATGTTAATAACTAATAATTACTGAAACATGTTTTATTGGCACAAACATTGAGTGTCCAACACAAAGATGAACTTAAGTTCTCTTGGAAAAGCAGAAACTAAAAAAAGTCTTGAAGTTGTTATGATATGTTTGCTGGAGGACTTTCCAACTTGATGTGATGTAGAAAAAGTCCCATTACTGCTCGGTGTATTTAGACAGCTGCCACTAAACAGTGAGATTATTTGCGTAAGAGTCATCCAAGATATTATAGACCACAAAGCCCACTTTGATTGTGTGTCCAGGTTTTCAGAATGGAGTGGTCTCTCTTTGTCTATTTTACTATGCGTTGAAATAGCGAGCTGAGTGTCATTTCTTTTCCATACAAATACTTTTTGACTGGCTCAGACTTGGGAACAATCAAGCAATTTTCAAAGAAAATGTTGTTCATGTACAAACCATGTATTTATTTTTACTGGAACCTCATAAAGTACAAAAAAGAGAGGGAAGAGGAATGAGCGTTCAAAAGCTAAATATGTTGGATTCAAGTTGAGAGATTTTGTGCTTTGCCGGTAAATGTGTGTTTTTTGTGTTCCTCTGTTCAAATAGGATTAGAAAAATGCCCAAGACACTTGCCAAAGAGCAATCAATTTTCTCATAAGTACCACTCCAGACTAATCAAGTGGGCTGTTTCAAAGCGTAGCACTAAATAAGATCTAATGTCCTCTTGGAAAAAGTACTTGAGACACTGCAAACCTTAATAGACTCTCAGAAAGCTTTCTGTTGCCAGGGAGGGAGGGAAAATAAACCACAAACCTTTCTCAACACCTCATTAGTGCGTCGAGTGAGATTTTATTAATACTTTTGAATGTTCTCCCTCTATCAAGTTATCCTTCATGTATGTGTTTTGTTTAGGTGACAAAGGTATAATCGGAGAGGTCGGAGAGGAAGGAATCATGGGTAAAGCTGGGCCACCGGGAAATTCAGGTACACACAAGATATATTTATAATAATTGTTGACCTACAATTAAGCAGTGTCACAATACAGTTGTGCATCCAAAAGTTTAAAGTTCAAAGCAAGGAAGGTGAGTGCTGCAGAGGGTACGAGTAGTAGAAGGCATGAATAACAGGTGCTCTTCAAAGACGGGGCAATCTAAGCAGGTTTAGAATGTCAAAAATAAAAAAGAAAGATAAAAGAAGATTAACGTTCCCTCAGATGGGAAATTTCAGAAAATAATTACAGATAAATATAGCTCGAAATGGAGTGGGAAGAAGACAAATATATAAACTCCCACCCCATATACATGATTCATTTTTTAATTTTATTTTTTATGCATACAGTTATTGAACATTGAAGAATAATGACAGATGGAAATATAGCTACTGCATTGGGGTATCAATGTCGTGATGTGTGGTGCAATATTTAGGTAAATTTATGGCTCAATGTGAAAAAATATACCAGCTTATAAGAGCGATGGTTATTTGGTCATAAATTACAAATCGAAAAATCGGATGAATCTGTTGTTTTAAAGCCCTCATCCACAATCCCTCTTATTCATCAACAAGCTGCCTGTGTTTCCCTTGGCTGCTGTCTTGAAGGTATTTGTGTTAGAAAGTGAGCAGAACATCTCTCTTCCTCCGTCTGGTTCTGCCCTGAGCTGTGTCTGTGGAGGAAACACATGTGCGAATGTCTCCTGGATGAAGAGAATGTCCTGCACATGTGTCGCAGATGTGTGCGAGCTGCATGTGACCAGACGGCAAACAAACTTACAACCAATGATTACGTTGATTAAAATCATGGTGGTTAGTTGGCTTAAATCAAGGTTTTTTTTCCCCCAGATGTGGGTCTATACTTGAAGTTAATCTTGTGCTATTATTGAAAGGCATACATATTTAACTTTGACAACAAACCAGTTACAATGGTCAATGACTTAAAATGATTTGAATTCAGGATTTTGTTATTGTTAAAGCAGTTCTAGTTTTCACATGTATGATTTTGTGGCTTTTGTCAAAACTTTAGATCAGCTTTCCAGGTCCAAGAGAGGACCACCCTCACTCAGCCAATCCGCTCTCAGCCCAATGCATTAAGATGAAGAAAACATGGTGTGGTCTGAATTGTTCAAAACATTTTACTTTTACAGGACTCTATTCTGTTGGGACAAAATAATTGTATAATTCACAGGGAAAAATTCTAGGCACTCCACCTTTGAAATTAAATTCACCCCAAATTGAGGTTAAAAACACACACACACACACACACAAAACCTGAATCAACATAATTTTAAGCGGGATTAGACATGATTTTTGCAGTGCACATCAGCTCATAGACAAAATGTAAACACTGTGATTGACATGGGAGAGTGTTTTCAACAGTGGGAGAATCCAGACGTTGCACCAGTTGGAAGGCTGTTATCTTGAGTCAAGATGTCGTTTAACTGGCAAAAGCTCTGCAACAACAACTCTGTAAAATAAAGCGATAAGCCCTATTATTAATGAATGTGTTTCACAGGTTTTGCTGGAGATGCAGGGATTAAAGGAGACATGGGACATTTGGGAAAGATGGGGCCAATGGGACACAAAGGTTAACTTATTTTTCTTCTATTGTTCAACCAGTCCTTTGCATTTGACACATCCTTCAATACCGATAGGGCAACCTGTGGGATCCTATCTTCATGCGTTGATGCTCTGCTTGTTCAGGGCTACCTTTGATGATGTACTTTACCTATGGTGCATGTTTTGGGTGGGGTTAGGGTTAGGGGGGAAACCGGAGCGCCCGGAGGAAACTCAGACACAGTGAGAAACGTCCAAAATCTACACAGAAGGACCCCGGCTGACACAGGAATTGAACCTGCCTCCTCTTTTCTTTGAGGCATGTGACAAGTGTTCTACTCACTTCACTCAGTTTACTGCCTTAGTGCAGTTAAGATCGTCCTATTTCACCTTTTACATCAAACTTTTTACATATTTTAATTTTGGCCACAAGTTTATTGTGCAAAAAACTGTCCGTACTGTGGCACATTGGTTAGCACTCTCGCTTCTCAGCAACAAGATCTGTGGTTTGTTTCTTTGCCTTTCTGAGGGGATTTTGCATGTTCTCCCAGTGTCCTTGTAGTTTTCCTCTGGGTGCTCCACTTTCTGAAAATATGTTCAATAGTGTACCTCTCTCTGGGGCCAAAGCTCCCCTGAAGAAAACATTTTGAAATCTCAGTGGGACTTTCCTAGTCAGATAAAGGTCAATAAATCTCTAACAAAAAATCAAAGATAAACTCATTTTTTTTCTGTAATATACTGTTATATAATTCCTGTTTTTCTTCCCTACATCTCTCTACACACTTTTCTTGCAGCATAAACGTATAAATTGCATTTTAATTTTGTATTAACAATTAGATACTTCATCCCTGCACAATATAGTTACATATGTACAGTATTTGAAACGTTAAGTCATGTCAATAGAGTTCCTTTAAATCGGTTATGTCAGTTTCTTTCATTAATGTTGCGTCGCCCTCTTGTGGAATCTTATTGCTTTACAGCTTTCACATAGAATCTCGATTAGATTTTATTTTTCTCCAGGTGACAAAGGTGACCCGGGCTTGGATGGTCCTCTTGGCCTGAAAGGAACACCAGGTGAAAACATTTCTTTCACATGTAGTTTATTTTAATCCAAATGACCCATGAATTTTCATCCATAGGCTCTACCTGTGATTGTGGCAGATATAGGAGGCTGGTTGGACACATTGATAACAATTTAGGAAGGCTGAGGAACTCCATGATTTTTGTAAAGAATGGTGTGAGGTCTTATCTTTACAACTTATAATCAAAATGAGTAAAATAATAATAATAATAATTAAAAAAACGTAATTTACTCTCCTCACAGTGCTGTTGGGGCTAAGAGAGACAGAAGAGATGTACTATCTGCTCGTGAAGGAGGCCAAAATGTTCCATCAGGCATCTATTAACTGCAGGCTGAGAGGAGGGGTCCTGGCCATGCCCAAAACCCCCAACACCAACCGGATTCTGGCAGACTACTGCAGCCAAGCCGGCCTCACCCGGGTTTATGTTGGTGTGAAAGCCAGCGCTGGGACAGTAAGTGATATGAAAGCATATCCATAGATGAATTTCCCAAAACACTGAAAGATGCAATCACTTAACATCGTCAAAATACAAAATAATAGAAACGTTCAACATATATGGGCATTTTTAGTCGAGTTTCAATTCAGTTGATGCTTCAGTAATTAATTAATTTATTTATTTACTTTTTAAAGGCTGGGTCATAATAAGTTCCACTTATGGGACGTGCAAGATTACTTTATCAGTATTTTCTTTCAAGACAACACAGGATACATGGTTTGGATTTGAGTTTTTATATTTATCTGCGTTCAATTCAATTCAATTCAATGTATTCTTGTATAGCCCTAAATCACAACAGTAGTTATCTCAGAGGACTTTACACAAGTGTTGAATTCTCCAGCACAGATCAGAGAATCAAAGCGTTCAAAAACACATTGATATTGGTCCATAAGGGGCAGATGACCAATGTTTTTGATAAATGTCCACAATTTGTTTGCATATTACAGTGAGTCTTGATCTCATTATAGTATCTTGTTTGAATAGAATGGGACCAGAAGTTACAAGTACTCCGACTCCAGTCCTCTGCAGGAGTTTTCTGGCTGGAGTGACACTTCTCCCAGTTCAAACTCGAGCTGTGTGGAGCTGCTCAGCTCTGGGACATGGGCTCACACCGATTGTGACAACTTCATGTATTTTATCTGCGAGTTTTCCAAAAGCAGAAGAAGAACAGGAACAACACCCACAGTCGTATCCTGAAGCATTAAGTGTCTAAATAAATGTTTTTTCCAAAACCTATCAGCAGTGTTTTAATGTTTGACCTGAGGCACAAACAGAATACACATAATATTTGATAATTTTATAGAAATATACCAAAGAAAAACATTTATATTCTAATTCCTTGGTCTTTAAATAACTTAAATCTTTCTCAAATTGATTGTGAATATTGTAATTATGTTTGTATGAACTCTTTTAGCTGAGGGGCTTTCACATAAAACAGCTGATGTTGGCATAATTGGCTTCTCAACACATTGGTCAATAGGAAATAGTTTTACATGCCCAGCACTTCTACTGTTGTTTTGGCTCCCCAAAACGTATTTCTTCACAGATACTTCCTTAAAAAATTGGAGTGGTTACTTATTTTGCGCTGTCTGATATTGAGCCTCAAATCCTTGAGATGTCAGGAGCATATTCCAGCGTTTCAGATAAGTGCATACTAGATGTTGACCACACTATGAACCTAAGGAGAAGCTCAGGTGAGAATTCAGACATGACGGTGAACATTGTGATGTTTTTGTAACATTAGCACTGTTTTTCAGGACGGAGGTTTAAACCCAACACTGCAGGTGTTGGATTGTTTCTGGGAATACTATGTTTTATTATGTTGGTTGCGATATTAATACTTGTCATCCTCAGTAAGTCTTATGAAATATACGCATGCTTTAAAACTAAAGCTTTGGAAAAAAAAAAATCTATACCAAACTGTTGATTTTTTTCCAGATTTCTCAGAATTGTCCTCTCATGACTCATACCACCAAAGACCAGAGGAGGCAGACCGTCTGGAATTTTTACAGCAACAGATTAACAATTTAACTGAAAAAACTGAAAAAACTAAAAACACAACAGCAGGTGAGTTTGACTTCTCAAGACAGTTCATTGTAAATTATACTGTTTTTCAGGACTTACTATTGTTCTTTAACAAAAGGCTGGTAAACAAATAAATTATAGGAACATTTTTTAAATCAATGTATGTTGTACAGTATGTTTTCTGAACATATACAATAAGGTGTCTTATGTTGAGACACCTTTTGTTACTTTGACCCCAGACTGTTAAAGACAAAAGTCTAAACTTGTCATTATTATGGTTAGTGAAACCTTTGCAGAAGACAACAAGATAAAAAAGACACAAAACAGAGAAGCAACAAGACTCAGGCCCAAACGTTTGTGGGAACTGCACAGGTCAAGTGTTATGTAGCAAACTTCATAATTGATCTTATTGACGGTAAAAGTTCTCATCTGACTTAGTCCTTTAGTCTACAAAGTATTTTGTCGCCTTAAGGGATATAAAAGTCTTTCCCCAGCTCTGATAAAAATCAATTATGAAGAAGATTTTATTTTTTTGACTGATTGGAATCAGAACTACTCCTTTAAGCCAAAATATAACTCTACTATACTCCATAGGCTTCTGCTCATCATCAGACTGGATAGAGGTGAACAGAAAGTGCTTCTACATCGCCCCCTTTGGAGTGACCAGAAGCTGGGAAAAGAGCAGGGATGATTGTAGAGATCGCGGAGGCCGACTGGTGACCATCCAAAACAGAGCTAAGCTTCTGCTTCTGGGCCGGTTCTATAGGCGCGCCTGGATTGGCCTTTCTGACAGGGGGATAGAGGGCACGTGGGAGTGGGAGGATGGGACTCCTTTGGTGGGACAGACCTCATCAGAACTATGGGTCGACGGTGAACCAAATGATGCTGATGAAAGGGAGGACTGTGTCCAACTGACTGTGGAGTCCAAGAAAATTGGATTTAATGATATGACTTGTAGTACTCCCTATCCCTACATCTGTGAAACTTTGGAGTGAGATGGAATGATCCTTACCCATAAAAACTATACATGTTTAACCACTGACCCTGTTGTAATCAGGCAGGCTGTATTATTATGAGCATGTGTTCTTGAATCAGAATTGTAAATGTACCATGATACATTCATATACATTTTGTGTTCAATAAACCAACCTGTATAGCAGTCTACATTGGAAATTGGAAATCTTTTGTTTTGTTAGCGTTGAGTATGTTGAAGAATAATCTGTGTGTCTTGAACTGGTGACATTGTGCTACCCACATTGTACTTAGCACTGTGCACTGTGAGTTAGAGGTCAGACAAACATACAAGCCTCTAATCGAAATAATAGCTAAACATTAACCAAGCACCACTGGAAAACCTGTACAATAAAGTCTTTATAATGTGTAGGTTGTATCCCTATCAAACAGGTGAAATTATAATGTAGCTTGGTTCATTTATAGTTAGAAAAATTAGCCCACTATTAATAAGGAACCATTTAGTACAAATATTAATATAACTATTATGTAGTAAGTAATAGCTAGTTATAATGATGCTTTTAAATAAAGTGAACTTTTCTAGTGCAAAACAACTGCAGTCTCCTTTTGCTTCTTCCCATACGTGTGTAATCATTAATCATCCATTGTCCAGCAGTCCTTGGCACATGCATGTCTTTGAACGCAGCAGCAGTTTAGGGAGTGGTGGCTGTGCACCTGTCAGACCTGTTTGGGGGACACATGACTCCGCAGGAATTTTCCCGGCTCCTGTGGCCCTTTGTTTAGTGCAGTTTGGAGAGGAGGACAGAGAGGCAGAGTGGAGAGGAGCGAGAGCAGCAAGAGATGTCCGAGCCAGCCACTAACCCCCCGGCCGCTGCTGCTGCTTCCACCGTGGCCGCCACCTCCTTCCCAGGGACCACACTTTCTCTGCCTTTGGGACTTGAGGTGTTTAGGACCTACTCCGGTGTGCTGATAACTTTGGAAATTGTAAGTAAGATGTTATCGCCCTTGTGCAATGTTATGTTCCTTATCTATCAAGCAATCCGAGCCTTTCTAACAACACTACGATCGTAGATAGTGGCTCTTTTACGCTTCGCGCGCAATAATCGCAATGTCTTGCCCAGCTCGAATTTGTTCTCCATACGCGTCTCTCGGGTTGCCAGGTTGCATTTATCGCTCCTCACATTGACAACCCCTGAAAACCTGTCCTCGAGCTAAGTTTCCTGGATTCAATAGACTGGAGCTGTGTGCGTATAATCGTAGCATTACGTTTTGTCCACAAGGTGACCTTAAAGTGCACTGCTCATTTCAAACACGTTTACTTTCTCACAAAGATTAGAGATGGATCAGTTTACGGCGCAATACTGTCGTAAACCAATTCTATGACATTTTTAAGTTTAGAATACTATTTATTATTATGCAAGCCACTGTAATCTTTTCATCTTCTTGTTTCATTATGGTCATGAAAAAACAAGATTTCTATTTTCCAAATGTGTTATGATGACGAGTGAGCTCTCCCAGTGCTGCTATTAATGAGTTAAAAACAAGACTTGACGTCCTTCCTTCTGTTTTCCTGAAGGAAAACTAATGTTGTATTGTTAGTTAGAAGATCACTAGGAGAGCAAATGGATTTATATCCAATATTGGGGATAACACAATAATGCATATCTGCTTTAAAAAGTATTATGTGACATATTCCTTTGATTCTATGACCATTTGCATAATACTTTATTATAGTGTAAAAGGCTGAGATTAATTGATTAAATTCAATTTAATTTTGTATAACCCTAAATCCCAAGAGCAGTCTTCTCAGAGGACTTTAAAAAGTGGTCGATTTGCAAACAGTTCGAACACAAGAAATAAACACATAGTGTTGTATTGTTACTCCACAAGTGCTTCTTCTCAGGTGTTTGGAGGTCTGGTATGGATCTTGGTAGCCTCCTCAAACGTCCCAGTGCCTCTGCTTCAGGGCTGGGTCATGTTTGTATCCGTCACGGCCTTCTTCTTGTCTTCTGCCTATCTCACCTTGCTCATCACAGGCCTGGCTGACCGCATCAACATCGACTGGAACGTAATAGTAAGTTTCACAAGTCCTAATGAGTGAGTTCTGGGTTTTGCATCACAGTGAAAACCAATAATATTTTATATGGATGAATGCATGTTTGTGTTTCGTGTAAAATATATCCTTAACTGTCCTGTTAATGTTTACTTTGGATTAATCTATTATATTGTTGTTCTGCCTGGAAATTGATAGAGTTTGTCATTAAACCTTAATGCCAGCTTCAGATCAACCAATATAGGCTTTATAACTATAAATAAAAATATATACCATATTATACTATTTATAGTTATAAAGCTCAAATCCTCTGGAATTCAAATTTTGACTTTATTATTGTGTCAAAAAATTCCATTAATAGCATTAATAAAAATTGTGGACATAGTAATTTGAACCTCTGCTCCATCATAGCTCATTATAAAGTTCAGAACAGCCCAAATCCAAGCAAAAGAGATTTACAACTAAGTCTGGTTAACTAACGAGGCTCTCTCACTGAAAGGTTTGGACACCCCTTGTCTATTCCCATACCAAATAAACAATAACAAATTAGTATGCAATACATATTCAGTGTTTAAAGAAAACAGAGGCGTTTTCTCTCCTCGTGCAGCCACGTTGTACTCAGACATGTGGGCTTGTTTGTTGTGAGTGGAACAATGAGTGATGTGGACCATGAGCTCACGGACCATGAGCTCAACAACAGAAGCTGCCTGTTTGAACCACATTACAGCATTACCTTAGACTTAGATTTATTTATTGATCTACAATGGCAAGTGCTTTTAATCAATATAACTAACTTCAAATGCAAATAAAGCAGTACAGTAGTGTGTATATACAGATGTGGATATAAATGATCACAACAAACACCTCCCCTGTTTCAGTTTTCTTTCTTCATATTCATGTAAACCATTTTTTCAATGTGAAGTTTAATCTCTGGTATAGCTGATACATTTAGGTTTTAAACAAGTTGCCACCCTGCCATGGCAACTTAGACAAGTGTAATTATTACCTAAATATAATTATGAAATATGTAACTTTTTTCTAGGTTGTCCACATGTTTGTCTTCATGGAAATATCCAAATGGAATGTCTCACACTATGGCATAAAAGATCTATGGTAACACCTCCACTCTCCAGGGGATCCATAAAAAATATGAGAAATGAGGATGAAAAATGTTTTAGATTTTATTTTAAGAATTGATAAGTCACAGTCAAATGAACTTAATACAGTAACAATGTAGCGTTGTGACTTTAGTTATAAAAAAAATAAAACATGCTAATTGAAATTCCTAAACAAACTAGTAGCCATTCATTCATCAGAGAAGTTACACAGTGCCCTTTGATGAGAAAATATTTATAGATATGTAATAAGTTAGATATTCCTTATGCATACTTAAGGCTTTATTCAGTACTTTGTTCAGAGTTGTGGAAATAATTAACAGTCAACGGAAAATGTATCACGTTACTTTTCTGTTGAAATGTGATTCTTTCACTAGCATGGACCGCGCCACAGCAATAGAATGTGGTTGAAATGTTTATTGATAGGGGTGGGTTGAAGCTGGGTGACGCTCCGGTACTCTGTGATGTTCAAGGATATAGGCAGGTGAGTAACGTGGGTGCGAGGGTGGTCGCGTCAAGACAAGCAGTGGCATGGGGGAATAAAAAAAAAAAATGCCTTTTGCCAATCTAATCCACTTTATTCCTATAGCACATTTAAACAACAGAACAGTTCCAAAGTCTAGTACACAAAAAACTCCATTTAGCTCAACCAATAAAATAGAATAAAAAATAGTCATCACAAATGGTATAAATAATTAAAATAGGAAATAAATAATCAATTTATAAAATAAAAATAACATAAAATCGTAAAGCAATAAATAAAATAAACAAAATGATAAAATAAATATAATACATGTAAAATCAATAAAAACACTAAAAAGATCAAATAAAACAGAATTAATAACAATAAATAGGTAAAAGTGAATAAAATAAATAAAAAGACACAGGGACCACACAACTCACGCGGTGTTAAAAGCCAGAGAATAAAAGTGGGTTTTAAGACGAGATTTAAAACACTCCAGTGTTGGGGCTGTTCGGACATGGAGGGGCAGAGCGTTCCACAGCTTAGGGCCGCCAACAGAGAACGCCAGCTCTATGAAGTCTAAAATGTGCATCTGCCAGTCACTTACGTAAACTCCTCTGTAATTGTGACACACACTCCTGGGCTTAAAACTTCTGTGGTTAAATTCTTTTCATGATCTTGGTCAGACCAATCAGGTGCCGTCTGTTCCCAAATTGGGCTTTAACTAGGAAGTAGCATGACTAGGGACAAAGCAGTCCAACTCCAAGTAAGAGTTACAAGGTTGACTCTAACCTTGAATTTTGCTCCTGACTCTCAACCATGAAAACAGAAATGATTATGACAGAATGAGGAGTGGACAAGAAGGTGAGGTGTTGTCTGAGAGTGGGAGATGGAGGTCGAGGCGTGGCCCTTCTCTTAAATCTGTAATTATTAACTCCAGTTTGCATAACACAAATATTCAGTAGTTGCCTCTTCTGTTCTTCTCCACAGGACGTGCTTTACCATTTTGTGGCTCTTCTCTTCTACTTTGCTGCATTTGTGCTGGAGGCGGCGACCACAGCAGCCAACAAAGGCACACAGTTCATAAGCATGCCCAACGGCACGCAGGTCCTCATGTGTATTCCCTTTCCGGCTGGCAACGTCTTCACAATTCTCAATGGGCCTCAGTACAGCATAAATGTAGCAGCGACGGTGGGTCACTCATATATGTACAAATAGACAGACTGATTATTGGGGGGAATAGGGGAAATAAGATTATACTTTTGAGTGAATTCCAGTTTGAAAATCTATATATTTTACTTTTATATGGGCATAATTTATGTACAAATGTTGAGATGACTTAAGCCAGATACTATAAGCTCATCAATGAAAACATGGATTTGTTTATTGTGATGTGGAAAACTGTATCTGTTCTATTTTGTTATTTAGTCTAATAACATTTGAGAGATTCACTGCGCAACTTTTCGGATGGACGTTGCACTCTTTGTAGTCCATAAATGTTGTTTTGAGACTTTTTGTTTTGTTTTTTTGAGACATGCTAATTCACATAGCTAAGATACAATTCATATCAAGTGAGCCTACCTATTGTAAGAATTCAGATGTCTGAGCCGCAGAATACATCTGTAACTCGAAAAGCACCCGTTCAGCGCCTTGTGTGAATTGTAGTCTGTTGGTAATGTCTGATTTTGTCTTTCTGTTTTGTCTTTCAGATATTTTCATTCTTTGTGACATTGTGTTATGGTTGTAGTATGTTGATGGGCTTCAAGAGGTGGAGAATGTGACTCCAAAACCCATAACATCTTCTGAAGACTAAACATTTTTAAAATATGTTGTTTATTTTTGCTCTAGAGATATAGCGCATCTACATTGGTAAATACAATTGCCGTTCTCCGTTGCCACAAATCAGATCTCTGGAATATGAAATGGGACCAGATCACATGATGAAAATTTGGACCTGACTCACGCCTCAGAGAAATATCTTCCTGAGGTGGCACTGAAGAATTTAGGAATTTACACCATGACAAATAAATGAAGTATTCTGGTATTTTAGATTATGTACTTGTGTTGAGTTTGGACCATCAATGGGGCACTAGTGACACATCTTTTAAGAAACTAGAAATAACAGTGCTATGCTGAAGGATTAAAACAACAACACATCAATGAGGCCAAAATCTCGATTGTTATCTGAATAGCATAATTTCAAAACTATTCCCAAATCTTGTCCAATAATTTCAACTGGTCATGCAGTAATTCTACCCTTATGTTCTGTACTGAGATATTCTGGTGCTATGTATACAATAACATTCTATAAGATGTAGACTTTTTCAATGTGGCTTTTATTTAAACGTGATTGTGTAGTGTTTAAAACATAATCATCATGCACTGTTTATTATTAAGTATTTTATCTTAGGAAAACATTTAAATATAACGTCTTGAAGGAAATTCGGAGGACCAATAAATTGTTTCCTGAGAAGTCAGAAAATATAGTAATGTTGTGTGTTTGTTTTGCCAAAACAACTAAAACCAAATCCTGTTTGTAATTTATATAATATTTTTTGTAATGCTTGTTTGTCTTGTATTTGTTATAAATGTCTTGATCAAGATTAATAAAACATTTTAAAAGAGTGATTGTTGGTGCATTTACTCTTAACACAGTTGTTTTCTCTTAACACAGTTGTTTTCTTCCAGCCCAGTGTTCTGATGCCCTGTTATAGGCCTGGTTTAGTTCCGTCATCTGTAATTAATAATCAATCATTAGTCCTAAATTTCCCGATTAAATCTATGGTTCCAAATTGAGTGTATATGCATTTGCCAATACCCACTAGGTCAACAATTCATTAGAAACAAACCACCATTTATTAATAGTCTACTCTTATCTGCTCTGTTATCTTCATGAATGGATAATTGACATAACTGAAGTGACTTTTACAAATACTGATCCTGTTTCCTGCATTGCGTTTTGGTGACCACTAGATGTCCTTCGTGGCTGATAACTTTACAAGCATGTCTTCATTATGCCAGCTACATTAAACCTTTTTATTTTGAGAAGAGTATGTGTTTTGGCTATGGGACTAGTCTATAATTCTTTAAATTTAAACTGATTTAAAAAAGATTATATATATATATATTAATGTGTCTGACTGCTTTGATCCAGATTTCTTTTACTCTATAATATATTGCACTAACTACATTTAGTTTGACTCCCTTTAAGTTCACAGAACATGACAATATACGTTCTAATGATCTGATAATTATTAATACAATGATAAGACGGCTGAGCAAGCCTTGCTTTTTGGAGCCGGACGCGCGTCTCTGAACTGAATTTCAAAATAAAAGTAATAGAACAATGCGCGCCAATTAACCTATTTACAGACTAGTCTATGCAAATAACCAGTTATAGGCTGATTAATGACCATGGATCTCTTATAAGACCGATTATGATTATTAAACATCCATTTGTATGATCAATACAAAGCCATCATTGTACACGTTTGTAACCAAATGATTTTGTTTCCTTACATGTATACTCTCGTCAAAGACATTCAATCTTGCCTGATCATATGCCACTGCTTTAATTTAAGTTTTGAACAGCGTGGGACGGAAAAGGCTGTCCTATCTTATCATCCCTGATCATCCTGCGGGCTGAAGGTAGGAGGAAAAACACATTACACACATTAAAGACGGGCATCTACATTATGTTTGTCCCAACAGAGAGTCTTGTAAAAGTAAAACTGAAAGCTGAACAAATATGATTGGGGAGCCCATTTTGTGTGTTTTAATTGTAATCTGCCTGTATTGTGTTTGTGTTATTTCATGGGACCCTCTCGAAAAATAGATGCTTTCTCTCAAGAGGCTTTCCCAAACAAATCTGCCGTCTTTTGATTACCAAACATTGTATTACACAAGAAAGAGCCTTGAGAGTCACTATTTGACGCTTTGGGCGGAATGAGAGTTGTCCTGTCTTGTTCACTTAATTGTCTGAAAAGCCTGCTCTAAAAATGCAATGGGGCCAAAAAATACATGGATGTGAAAACGGATAGAGCTGTTTTAGGAGCGGGGTATTACATTTGTTGAGTGAAGTTACATTCAAAATGCAGCAGCTCGAGTCCTGACTAGAACCAGGATTAGTCCATATTAGTCCAGTCCTCAGGTCTCTGCACTGGCTTCCTGTGGCTCAGAGAATAGACTTTAAAACAGCACTGCTTGTGTACAAGTCTCTCCATGGCCTTGCACCAAAATATATTAGTGACATGTTAGTCCCATATGAACCAGCCCGGACTCTGAGGAGCACAGGGACTGGACTCCTGTTAGTGCCCAGAGTCAGAACTAAACATGGGGAGGCAGCTTTTCAGATTCATGCTGCTAAAATCTGGAACAATCTTCCTGAAGATGTGAGACAGGCCTCCTCTCTGACAATAATTTTATATTTTTTATTTTATCTTTCTTTTTAATGTACTGTGATTATTTATGATTTTAATGCTATATTTTATTTTGTTCAGCACTTTGAATTGCCTTGTTTATGAATTGTGCTATACAAATAAACTTGCCTTGCCTTGCCTTATAGGTACCCCTGCTTGGCACTCCTACTTTGTGATTATCAAGATAAAGATATCCTTCATTCGTCTCACAGTGGGAACATCTCAGGTGCAAACAGTGAAATATAGCATAAATCATACTGATCCTTCATGTATTGCGCCAATGCAAATCTCTCAGGTTTGTCACAGGCGGAAGTGCCGTCTCTTGCGTGCCGTGCGTAAGCTTGACTTGTCTCTTGCCTTTATGGCTTTTTTCGCCCTGTGCCAGTGCAGTTTGTGTTTGACTCCAGCGTCGCTTTCACCTCAGTCACTTACTGGGCAAACCCGGAATAACTATCACTAGCACGGACTCCCGGAGTTTAGTTGAGCGTTTGCGGGCGTCCGGAGGTGGTTTCGGGTCAGCCATGGGGTCCAGCGGCTCTTTGCGGCGGGGAAAGGGGGATTTAAATGTCTCTTTTTATCGCTGTTTTTCTCAGTAAATGGCACCGCGCTCAAACATATAGTTTCTGCGTCACCTGCACTTTGGCGCTATTGGATCAACACGCCATTTTTACACGCGATTTGATCATTTTCTTCGCGTTTAAGTGTTAATATTTGTGAGTTGTGGTCGGTCGGAGGTGACGAGGGCTGGGGTCCCGAAAATGGAGGTTGTGATTGAAAAGGAATGCAGCGCGCTCGGAGGGCTCTTCCAGACTCTCATTGCAGACATGAAAGTAAGTCTAAACATTGACTGTGAATGCTCTGCAGTGTTTTCTCCAACTTGTAAGACTACTGCATTGTTAGATATTTGCATCAAAAGTTCAGATTTACTTTTCATAACATTCCAAAGCGCAGGAGACAGGTCATTTCGGTGGAACTTTACGCGCATGAAGAATTGTTGATAACTAGCTGCATATTGCTTTTTCTGAAGAAAGTTTGTGGTGAAGGCCTTAAACTAGTTTGTATGTATGTTTTATTGTATTGCTTGTTTTCTAATAAGTTTATTCCCCCTTATGTTTGGTGTATTTTTAAACAAATATTAATCTTAAAGTTTTATTATTCCTATTTTGGTCATTTTGTATGTACAGAGTTTGCATGTTATTTATAGATCTGTTATAAACAACTTTTTAATATCCATTATTACTGAATGCCCTAGTTAAAAGTTCAAATGCGGCGTGTATGACCAGCATGATAACCGAATTTAGGGCAAATGGCAATTATAAAAGTAGGGCGTCTTATTTTGATCCTCTATTTGACAGAGTTCAGATGATGGCACAATTAGGCTATTTCCCAGCTGTTGCACTATGCCTGGAGGAATGTGGAGAATGTCGCTGTCAGGGAAGAGACGAGCCCACAGGGTCTGGGGGTCCTACGCGTGGGTCAAATGGCGGGCCACCTTATTCCGAGTTTGTTATGAACTATGCACAGCGCTCACAGTGGATACTGTCACCATGGTTGGCTCTCTGGATACCACCAAAGCTTTAAACATGACTATACCAGGCCTAACTAAAGGCAAAACCAGGGCTAAGAAATAAGAGTAAACTGCATTTCTTGCTTTGAGACTTTAAACATGAATGGGATCCTAGTTTGGTAATATGTGTGGAGTTGACTTTAGTGTTTGTGTTCTGGTTTACTCTAATATCCCCTCGTTAACAGTGTTAGTGAGCCTGAAATGTTAACAAACTATTTACAATATTAGTGGTACCTGAGTACCAGAATTGAAAAAAAAATTGCAATAAACTTTCTAGTGAGCCGCATTCTTACTCTTGGTTTGAGTCTGGTTAAGTCATGTTCGGGTTCTAAGTTATAGTCAAGCTTCAGATTTAGTTACATTTTAGTCCCAGTCCTCTGGGAGTGTATTCAAGATCTGGAGTCCTGGAGTACACTGCCGCAGTTGTTGAGGGTTGAGTTGAGTTTGTTATTTGGTGCAATGTCCAACAGCACGACTAGACATTCCACGAGGCTCTGATGGTCGTGGCACAGTAGTGACAAACATTTTGTGGTTACATATCTGCGCCTCATGCCATTCCTGCATGCTTCCACTGCACACTCTGGATGAACATCGCAAAATGAGAATTTTCTTTTTTTGTATTGACACAGTTTGTTATGAGGATGAAGATTGACAACAAGCATTATATTATGATGTATTGTCCAAAAAGACGAGACGGCCTAGACAGTATGGACAGCCTGAACACACAACTGCCTTTTGTGTGTTCTAGTGTTGCTATAGCAAATATGGGAAATGGAGAGTCTAGACTTTGTTAATCTGTTCAGCCTTGGAGGCAAGGGGAGCCCTTTATAAAATCTGTAATTGACTAAAGAAATTATTGGTTTACTAAAGACTTTTCTTGTTCACCTCTCAAAAGAATATCTTTATGATTCCACCACACAATATACAACTTAATTTACAACTTAAAACAAGTAAATCACATAATTCACATCTATTGTGGTCCATATTGTTACCTAATAATCAGTGCATTGAGACTTGGTTCACTTCAGATGCAACAGTCCTCTAACATCACTGAAGGGTCATCCACTAGAGCTGGGTCCATTTGATCTTCACAGGTGAAGCATACTTAATTTGTGAAGATGTCCACTTTAGTTAGACCAACATCATAAACAGGCCACAGCCATAAAATAAAACTGCTGCTTTTATAAACACTTATCAGCTGTGTGAATGGTGAAATGTGTTTTGATGGTTCCCATGTGCTTTTCCCTCACAGAGCAGCTGCCCAATTTGGGAGGACTTTATCACCAAGGCTGGAAAACTTCAGTCTCAACTCAGGTAAGAAAGTGTGTGTGTTACAGCTGCTACATGGACTGTAATAAAGGGTGACGCTAAGACATCGATCACAATGAGCTGTACAAATTACAAACACATGATGAAAGAAGAATGGATGGCACTTATTAGTTAAGTTAAAAACTGTTACTCAAAAACGGAGATTGTTTTTCTTAATATTACCTGGCCTTATATGTCCAAAACTTTGCCATCAACGGCCGTGCACACAGTAGTTTAGCACTTCTCATCTAAGGTCATTACTGTCCCTCTATTAAAGTTCCAATCAAGCCATATATGATTTGTCTTTGTCACGCTGTAAACCTAACCTACTGCATCTCCTGCCAAATGTTCTCACTAGCAATAGATCCGCAGTGTCCTACATGAGTTGGTTTTAAGTGGCCACGTGTCTGGATGCAAACCTGTTATGACAGCTGAAATAAATGGCTATTGTTCCATAAGTACTGTAAGAACAGATCTCCTGCAGCTCATAATTATTCTTTGATTTAACGATACGTGGCAGTTTTCTTACCACTCAAGTGTCCACGTGTCCTGCTACAGACAAATAGTGACAGTTGAATAAAGGCTGTGAGCATGAACAATACTCTCTGGGGGCCACAGGAAGTCCCCATCTTCATATTTCCTCTGAACCTGATTAAAGGTGATATGTTATTCAAGCGTCCCATCTTTCAGTATGTGACCCTGCCATGCTACATTTTGGGAAAAAATGTAAAGACATGTTGCTAACGACTATCACAAGAGTTGCAAATAAATGTATGGTAGGTGAGTTAGATGACCATAGGTTGCTGACCCCAATAACCATAAACTGATATAAAGTTTCATTGTACACTGCACATAGTAAAGTTCATCCACCTGTTGTGGGAAATATGTTATGTGTATGTAATGCTCTTTTGAAGTAAAAGTTAAAATATAAAAGGTTTATTATAGAAGCGCTTCACTTTTTGTGTTTGTTTTTGGCAAAAGGGGACAAATCTTAGGTCTAAATGTCATTTCAGCTTGTGTGAACTGTGACGATCGCACAACAACAGTAATACAATCGTATGAGAAAATAAAATAGACAAACTGTGATGACACAAATCGCATTGTAATCCTCCGCATTGGAGCGCTCACCTCTGAGCTGGGTCCGGCTGGTCCCTGCTGTCGAATGTTCTTTGGGCTGCATGGTGGCACAGCGGTTTGCGCTTGTGTTTCTTAGCAAGAAGTTTCTGGTGTTTGATTCCACATCCAGACTGGACCTTTCTGTGTGGAGTTTGCTTGTTATCCCTGTGATTGCGTAGGTTTCTTCCAGACACTAAAACATGTACAATAGGTTCGGTTCGGCATTTGGAGTCTATTTCCAATGCTGTGTGTGGGGTGAGAAGAAATATGCCCACAGCAATTATAAAGCTCTTTATGACTGTCTGTGATATATAAATAGATATCACTTGTTATGGCCCACAGTTTATTGCACTATACTACATTTTACCCGCCTTTAAAAAAATATTCTGCCACTGTGGCTGGACTGGGACCAAAAAACGGCCCGGGCATTATTGCCTCCTTGACGGCCCAGCCGTTTCCTTTTTCATGTTATTTTTGTATTTTTTTACAGTTACTTTTACAGTATGCAGAAGCACATGCTGTAGGCTCAGGATATATGCACTTTCAACTATTTTAATAAAGCGCAATGATCTACATTGAGATTAATAAACATGTCACTACAGAGTGAGGGAGACGAACATAGCACCATATTGTTTGTTACAGGGATGAGAATGGGACATTTCAAAGAAGTCTGAAATGTATATATGGCTGTCCTTAAATCTGTTTGATTTGTTCACAACATTTTACTATTGGCACAACCAACATGAACTGTTAATGCAAGAAGAAAATGTACGTACCCCAGCTTTAATTTAGCGAGTTTAGTTGCGCTTTGGGAAGAGACACAAGGAAGACGCGGACTGTTTCTTGCAGCGCTGTATTTATTGCATGAACTGGTTATGCAAAGGCACGCACACAACAAGCACAGTATGGTCCTGTGGGTGTATATAGTCATGCGCGCCCCCCTCGAACATTTCTTAACAGATTTACACATTTCTCAAAAATATCTTTTTGTATGAGGCTCACAGGCCGGCCCAAATATGGGCATCGGCCCTTCGGGCACTTCCCGGTTCGCCTGACCGGCAGTCCACCCCTGCTGTGGCATTGCTGTTGCTGTTTCTATAGTTTCTGTAGATGTCGATATTGTGGATCTTATTGCTGTCATACGACCTTTTGTATATATTTTTGTTTTGAACAAGGGTGAATCTTTTGATGACAAATGGAAAAAAGTGCAAGAGGACAGAGGTTGTTAGGCTCTGTGGTCTTCTCTGGCACTCACGCATACAATGACACCAGTGTAGATTTAAAATGTATTATTTACATATTTGAAATTGTGTTCCCTACAAAAATTAACTCATCTTGAATACCCAAGTTTATTTTGAACTCAAAACATTGCTAAATATTAGGGAACTGTGGTGTTCATGGCATAATGTCGGTCATTCATTACACAACTGCAAACCAGGGGCGGTAACTGCTGTATGACTTGGGGTTCATTTATAGCTCACATTGGTTGTGGCATACTTAGCATATACACATGGTATTGATGCTGCTATTGCTGGAGTGCTAAAATAACTACTCAATGTTGTTCATGGTGACCTACAATTGAAGCATTTTGCTTTAAAGTTAGTGTCCAGTCTGCCTCAACTACCACTAACCTCCACATAGGGATCCCTGTAATCTGCGTGGGTTCAGAAGAACACACCCGCCTTCCCTCTCTGGTCTGCATAAGTGACCAGCCAGCATATGTCTGTGTGTATTTAATGACGTCCCCAGGCAAAGTTCTCTGTAATTTAGCTCCCCTCTCACAAAGCAACAAGGAAATCAACCAATTAAGTGTCGGTCTCGTTCTGTCATTTATTCTACCCAATATATGGCGCCCATGTTGGCTTTTAGAGGCCATTGAACACCCTCACATACACACATGTGCGCACAAGTTCAACTTTGAAGAAGCAGGGCGAGGACATTGACTGATTTATAATCACAGACCCCTGTAACTTGGCACTTTTTGGTGGGATGTGGTAAAGCTGTATTTTAAGTCTGTTTCAACCACACAAAATATATTGATTTTATTTTTCTGTACTTTTCACATTTCTTTATGATAACTGAACAGCTGTTTAGTGCACACTTTTAGAGTGTAATGTTTGTATTTACAACCTTCCAGTTACTGCCTCTAATGATGTCATCCAAACTGTAGCACATAGAATTTGAAAGTCTTCGGTGAGTCCATTATTTCCTAAAAGGCCATGCAGCTCAATGCAAACTTACTTTTTATGAGTAGCACATGTAAACCACCCTCAGCATATAAATAGTAATTAGTTACAAATAAGGTATTAGAATTAATTTGGAATTGTGTAGTTACCAGAGTATATAAATTAGCGTAGTGTTGGTTTGGTGCCTTTACTGAACTTTAAATAGAAAGGAATCTGTATGTGCCCTCGTGTATGTTTCTTTTTCCATTTGCAGGACATACCCCTGGATATTTTTGGTCAGCTCTGCATCTACACACTACTTATTAACACATGTGGTATACCATAATTGAGTAATTAATACATGATCAGATGTCTGTCCTGTGCAATGGCCATATCTTTGAATGACATATTAAGGCCTAATGGCATTACTGTCTAAAGGGGTAACTGGTTAGAAACATATGTAAGTTTATTCAAAGTGTTTTAAACATGGGTTCAAACAAACAGGGACTATCGTGAACTATGACTTTTCCATTCATACATCACACTCAGGACACATGCAGTGAAGTGGTAAACATTTGCCTTAGCTCCAGTTTATGTTAACCTTAAAAGGATCATGACTAATACAATGTGAATACAAAGATGTATTTTTAGAAGAGTTGGACAACTCAGTTTTCTTCCAATGTTTGCCCTATCCACCAACATGGAGTCTTTGTAGTTTTTCACAGGTTAGGTAATGGAAGATTCCCACTGGTCTCCCTCAAGAAGAAACTATACCTCAACTGACTTGTCTTTCAAGGGACCGTCAGGGTGTTGTGGTTTTGTTGTGTCTGAAAGGAGAAAGACAGTTTGTCAGTGACCTAATCAGTTGTCCTGCCAATTTAGTGAACTGTTGCCATTTCTAGCTAATTTAATAAGAGCTCGGTCAGACAGGCTGCCATCCGTAACACCGCCAAGAGACGCTGCTTTGTAATGACTTTAGCAGAGAGTGAAAAACCAACCTCTTTTTTATGAAGTCACTAGAGTTGACCTTTTACCCCCATCCTTGCTATTCCCCCCCCTTTGACTAGGTACCATAGATAAGTTAAACCAGCAAGTGAAAAATAACACCTGGATTGGTTTTGATAGGGGAAAAATGGAAGTAATGGTGACTGGAATATGGCAATTGGAACATATGTGCATGCAAATGATTAATTTCTCAATTAAATTTTTATTTGATAATATATAATATGGCACAACATAAAAATATCAGCTATATTTGCTCTGTCTAGTGATTACGTTGTTGTGATATTGTTGTGGTATTGTGATGTTGTGATATTATAAATAGGTTTCTAAAGAAAAAAAAAGTATCCAGTTTTTGGCATGACCACAAATGATCAGAAAAGTTTGTTCTGTTGAGCCGTTTATTTGCTGCGGAGTTACAGGAGTTTATATGCAAAAAAGTTGGGTCATTAATCGTGTGTGTCAGAGATATGAACAGTTATGAACGGAAGGAAATATGACATTGTACAAAGATATGAAACTTGATTACAGATACAAAATCCAGTATCTTACCAATTTTGTCCAGTGCTGTGTCTAAGTTCCATTTATTCGGGCTATAGTTCACACTGCTCTTTTTCAAACTTGAATAAAACTTGCATTACAAATTAGTACAAATAGTACGATCAGAAAAGGTGTAAGATCTTTGACCAATTGACTCATTTTGTGGCTTTCCCTTGTCAATAGCCTGTAGTGCGTTGAACTGCACAGATTCCAACAGTCTTCAAGTAATCGCACATACATTCCTCTCTCAGCAGGACACACTTGGGTTTAACTTACACTCATGCAAATCGACTTTGATTTGAAGCCTTTGCATATTTTTAACGTATATGTTTTCTTTACACTTACTTTCCACCCCCAATAAACGTGTACACACTTTCAGAAGTTGAACTTTTGTTGCCTGGACTGTGTGTGTGTATGATTTCCGCTTCCCACAGTATTCAATTGCATGTTGTACTTACTTTACAATTCAACATATATTTTCAGAACATTTTTCATTTTTTTGTCTCTTAATCTGCAGGGCAACTGTGGTTGCGGTGGCTGCCTTCCTGGATGCCTTTCAGAAAGTGGCTGACTTGGCCACCAACTCGCGAGGTAAGAATATGTTTCAACTGGAACTCGGAGGTGTTTCATTTTAATCCAACCTCAGCTACATCTATTAGTTTTTTAAAAGGGCAAACAATTGTGACCTCGCTGAATGGGGTCCAACAGAGATTTCCACAGCGACATGTGCCATGGAAAGTTCAGTCTTTATCACCCCAACGTTAAAACCTACAGGCTGTTTGTTTTATCGTCTAGGCAGTAAATCTATCCAAACGCTGCTTGAAGTTAGGGCCACTGCCTTTGTCTCTGGTCTTTAACCTATTTTGCCTCCCCTCCCCCCACACCTCCTTCCCTCCTCCTCCCTCACCACATCTGGGTTTTGAGGTTGCTGTGTGGAGAGAGAGTGCTGGAGCCCATCCTTCTTCAGCCTTGACACCTCCAACCACCACACGATACTATTAATAGGAGCTGCGATAGAGCATTCATCAGTGCCGTGGTAGTTATGAGTGAAGATAGGGCAGTCATCAGTCACTTCCTGGATTTGACTCCACAAAGCTCAATCTTTCTCTGTGTTTGTGTACAACTGGCAATACAAATGGTTGGTTACAAGTCATCAGTCGGGTGCTAAAAGGAGCTGCGTCATCGCCCATCTGCTGTGCCACCACTTTCTTTCACCTCTCTTTACGTATTTGACACTCTGATTTACTATTGTAGACGCTTATGATGCATCCGATTCATCATATCCAGTTTATGCATGTGTGAATGTGTGCTGTTGCCTTTTTCAGATGTCAAAATGTCAAAAGCACCAGAAATGTGCATGTTGGTTGGTTGAATGTATGAAGAGCTTTGGTGACACTCGTAATCATAGTTTAATGTAATCCAACTTTTTCAGTATTATAGTATGCATATTTCCTCTTTATTTTTAACCAGTATGCTGAATTCATAGGATTTCTAAATGTTATTAGAAAGAAATGATTAGGTAATGAAAATCACCACAATGTCCATGACTTAAAGGCACACTTGGTTTTGGTGATGTCACTGTCATAAATTCAGATTCAGTCACATTCTTTCCCTCCAAAGTGCGAAGTGGTGGTACACCTCAAGAGTATTATTTTACACGCCTTGATTTGTCATTAAAGAATCACTAATGTACAAGACGTGGGTTATGTGTACGTAACAGACATATAGTGCCTAGGGTCATAGTTTTTCTACTTTGGGAACGTATCGACTTACTGTATTGTCCAGCAACTTTACAAAGCATGGGAGCTGTCTTTTGCGGCTATGAAGCTTTGATGTAGCCCTGCACCTGGATGGAGCCTGTGTTAGATTTTTTTTTCATTGTAGTCGAGTCATAACCAATATTTTGATTTTCTCATGTCTATTTTTCACTTTATAAAAATCATCACAACCACGTCATATCACATAGACATCACGTTTATAGCTGGTGTACTAAAGGGCATCTTCCTGACTATTTAATGCTGGTGCTTTTGTTTTTACCAGAAATGTTTTTGCTTTATGATCTTGGCAGTGATCTGGCAGAGACACTATGGAAAAGGTAATAGTGCAATCAGAGCAAAGAAATTGCATTTATGCTGGTTTGAACTTTTGTTAATTCTTGCATAGTTTATACAGTGTAAATGTTCTTAAATTGTTTGTCTGATCTTAACATTGCTCGTGCAAAGAGCTCAGACTTGCTTTCTCACAAGCAGGTGAACAATAACAACCGGGAAAAACCTGTTTAACCAAAACACTGTGTTAATGTTTTGAACATTCTTTTCAATGTGCACATTCATCTTTAGTCACAATCAAAACACTTTGACATTGTTGTGCTGTGGTTTGACTGCTAAAAATACCTGCCTTTGTTCTTTACATTTTATTTTGATTTGTAACATTTTCACCAAAAAGACTAAGCACTAACCCTTTACAAATTGAAACGTAGGATGTTGGAGCTTCTATCAACTATCATTTTTGTAATCTACTGAAGTCTGTTGCTTCTTCCTTGCGTATTTCATTCATCATGCAAGTGCAATAGTCGGAGGGTTCTTTGTTGTTAGTTGAACCAGTTTAGTGCAAGCATGCAGCACATTGAAAAGACACATTACATTTGCTCCAATTAAAAATGTATGAAATAATAAAAACGTATACATTTTATTTTTTCCATCAGCTGTAGTAATAGTATTTATTTTGTTCTTCTTTGTGTTCCAAGCTAGTGTGAGTTTGCCTGTGTGCTTGTTGTATTTCCGCATCCAGTATATCTAGAGGGTATCTTAATCCCAGTGGACCTGTCCCTACCTAGTATCTGAGTTGGTTTGGGCACGTCTTTATCTGCTAACATGAATCAGACACCTGCCTCAACGCTAACATGTGCTAGCTTGTTGTGACTCCTTGGGAAGTCAAAAACCCACATCTCGTTTCTAATGTGTTTTCAAAGGTGATAATTACAGTACTTGGAAAGCGGTCTCTCATAGTTATTTGAGCAATTAAGGGCAGAATGAATTGGTAGTTGTGTTATTTTTACGGTTTCAGTCTGTGCCATGTGAGGGATTAAACATTTGTCTTTGTTGTAGAGCTGTGGACGAAATTCATTCTTGTATAGTCGGAATATCATGCCACAGCACATGGCTAAATGCTTCCTGTCTGCTTAGAATAAAGCTCTCTGTTATTATCTTCACTGTTCAAAAAATTGTAGTCGTTCTGACATTTTTTATGAACCTCCAGACTTGTGCTTGACTTTACTAGGTACATTAACCATTGTGGCCACAGAAACTCTCAAAGTCTAGTGGTTTCTTTTGTCTTTTGTTCTGTGTCCAGCTTTTGCCTATTGTCCATGCTCTCTCCCATGTCCCATTAACTTCCCTGCTGTCCCTCCTTATGGAATACTTTAGTTCCACTGAGGCCCAGGGAGCCTACAATGGAACTTGAAAATAACTTCATTCCAGAGAACAACGTTGTCTAGGCAATATCTGAGCCTTTTTTACTACACACGTGTATGTGTGCGTTTTATATGCAGTCAAAAAGAGGATGAAAGTTGATAAATTATATTGTAAACCTCAAGTGTCTCGCATTTTTACTATTTCCAGGCGTCTGCTAATACGCTTGGTGCCATTGCTAATGCGGGGCAAAGCTGCAGCCAACTGTTGAATGTTATCTCTGCCTGTCAATTTTAGTGGCGTAAAAAAAATCTGAACTTTGATGTAAGGGAATAATTAGGGAACAAATACATTGGGATTCCAAGCCCAATTTATTTGTTTTTTTGAGACTTAAGTGTTAGATGAAGTGTTTGAACTTCAAAATCACATATGGTTTTAAAGATGGTAGCACCAAAGACTCCTTAAACCCAGTGCTCCTGTGTACATGAGTTAACAGCCAGACAGGCGCTTGAAACACATCTATTGGACACATAGAGTGGCACATGCTTGGCCTCATTTCTCTCAAAGAGCTTTGTGTGCATACTCTTCACCATCAAGGCTCTATGCGTGATAAAAACCGTTTCCCTATTTTATTTACTGTAAAGATCTTATCTATGAACTAATTGCTGGTGGGATTAGGTTTCATTAAATTACAGTTTTCTCTCTGTACTGCTCTGCAAGTCTTGAGATTCAGCTTTGTACTGACATGTCATTGGCAGAAAAAAGACGCATCCAGTATTCCCTGCCACAGTAGACCCCACACAACTCCAAGAAACTTTACTCTCACCCTGTTTGAGTTGTGGATGGACTGTGTTTTGCTGTGTACTGCTCTGTCTAAAAAGCCCCCTGTGCTATTTTCTAAACCTCCCAGAGCAGCCAGTGCATGTTCCTCTCAGTCTATAGCATTACATTTCGAGAGTCGTCTCCTTGCTTCAAACCTTTCTCTTTCCTTCTGTGACTGCCCTGAACCGATCCTGAATGATCTTACTGATGACTGGAACTGCCAATTACACCGGTTAATGGGTCAAACCCTCTCACTCTATTGACCATCACATCAGCCTTTCCTGATCTACGATGCAATGGACTGAGTTATCTGTGTCAAAACCAAGAGGTTGATTTAAGGACTTTCCGTGCAAGACAGTTTAGCTTGCACCCATAACACACAAATGAAGAAAAATGTCAGATTTTGTCTGTGCCTGCTGTTTTAATGAGCATCTGCCTGTCCTGATCATAAATTCAGATTGGCTTAAAGGAGTGATGTGTGTATTTGGTATTGAATAAAAAATATGGAATATTTCCCTCTGAAAGTTTAGGAAACATGCTTAAGACTGTATGTTGTCACGGTGCACCTGACTACTAGCGTGCAAAGGGAGCACTCTGTTTGTTCATTGTTTTTGTTCAAACACAAACCTTGTTGGACCAGTATGAGTCAGACTGTCGGACTGTCAAATGCGTTAAATTTGCTTAAGCCTTGAGTGTTTAAAAATTAGGTTAGCCAGTTTAGAGTGCCGCCTACAAGGCCTCTCTGTCCAAATTTGACAAGGTAAAGATAGACTGGCTTTTTGTTTTTGCTGATAACCTTGGCAGACATAACACTTTTGATAAGTTGGGTGAAAATGTCAAAATCATATCAAATGATATATTTAAGAAAAGATAACATGTATACATTGGGCTATACTGCACAACAATACATTTTAGAAATGCCTGTACTGCTGACCCAGTATTTAACCCTGGGAGCAAATGGAGTGCCAACACAGGATATAAAGTGTGAACGTTCAGCGAGTTGTATGTACCAGTGTTTGTGTTTCATCACAGGGAAGACAGGAATGAGTCAAAACAAACTTCCAACTTTCAAAATAAGTCTCCTCATTTTGAAAGGAGGAGGGGCGAATATCCAGGATTAGAGGTATTGTATCAAGTTTATCCTCCATGTGTCGCATTAAAGACACTTTCCAACACATGTGCGATGGTGAGATTTCTGAATTGTTGCAGCTCTAATATGACATGCTCTGTGTTGCAGGGGCTCTGAGCTTAAATATATAAATTAATCTACATGTTTATGACAGAACACAGAACACAAATGTTCCAAACATACATTCATGTTCTGAAAATATATACCACAGTAACTCCTTCCATTTGTGT